TTTTTTTCATGTTTTAAATTATTTCAAATATCAGTAGTCAACATTTTATGTTAAAAACAAAACATTAGGCCTATTTATGCATCTGTAACTGTGGTTTAAATGCATCCATGTCCCCTCTGAGATACATAAGCTGTGTAAATAGATCTAAATGCTATTTCAGATGCAGATTCCAGAAATGTTTTCTTATGTTGGAATGAAAGACACTAAGTACCGGATGAAGTGCTTCTTATTCTTACCCAAAAATACAAAATGGAAGAAAGAGTTAAAACTGATCACAATCTTGCTACTCAAGCTTTGTATGAACATTTTTATATATATTTATTTGCTTCTTTTCCATTTTGCATTTACTTGTACTTTTACTTTCAATACTTAAGTACATTTAAGATTAAAAAAATACTTTTCTTACTTAAGTACAATAAATATCACATACTTTAAGACTTTTACTCAAGTAATATTCTAAACGGTGACTTCAACTTCTACCAAAGTCATTTTCTGGTAAGATATCTGTACTTTTACTTGAGTATGGCTTTCAGGTACTTTATACACCACTGCCGCATGCTGTAATTTTGTGATCCCTAAATTACACAAGAGCCGGTACTCTATAGTTACAAATAGGTACGCTGTAAATTCTGTTTAATTACACGGTAAATTGTGGGCTGTAATCTAAAGCGTTACCGAGAAGTTTGTCTCAGCCTCAGTTCAGACTCTCCTCTTTCAGTCCCACTGAAGCTGAATCACTGTGTGTCCTAACAGCGCTCTGCACAGACAGCAGTGGAGGACAGTGAGAGGGTCTTTACTGAGCTCATCCGCTCCATTGAGAGCAGCCGCTCTGAGCTGTTACGGCTGATCAGAGATCAGGAGAAGACTGCAGTGAGTCGAGCTGAAGGACGACTGGAGCGACTGGAGCAGGAGATCAATGATCTGAGGAGGAGAGACGCTGAGCTGGAGCAGCTTTCACACACACAGGATCACATCCAGTTCCTGCAGGTAACACAGATCTAGAAGAACAGGAGTGTCTTATTATATAATCATCAGTCAGACTCTCATCTGATCATCTTCTTTTGAAAGAGACATCGCTTACAAATGGCTTTCAGCTCTGGAAATCTCTTAGGAATAATTTCTCTGAGCTCTTTCTTCAGGAAGATATATTTAGCTGTCAAACACCACTAGCGCCACCAACAGTTCACTACCCTTTAAGGGTCCATGTGAAATCTTGTGTCTCTAACTGCTCTAAAGTTATAAATAATGTTCAGTCTAATCTCTGCCTTTCCTGAGCAAATCTACTCAACCCTACAATCAGACTCCATTGATGTGCTTGAGCTGTTAGATGGACATTTATGTTTTTAGCAGATGTTTTATAATCCAAACTATTTCCTAGAAGGTTCACATATAGTGTAAGTGGCAGATACTAGAATCTGTAGTTCTAATGGGATATGATAAATATGAGAAGACTGAAGCTAATGCTGTGAAATCGCTGGATTGAGGTGAGTTACCGAAGATCAGTCAAGTCAACAAGAGCCGCACAAATCTGATAGTCATGCAGGATATTGGGTGAAGTGTGGAGCTGATGAGTTTTGATTTCTGTTTTCTGTAGAGTTTCCAGTCTCTCTCAGCACCTCCTGAATCTACAGACGTAAATGACGATCCCTTCAGTTCTGTCTTCTCTTCTGATGCTCTGAGAGAATCTGTTCATCAGCTGAGAGACAAACTGGAGGAGTTCTGCAAAAAAGAGGAGCTCAAGACGATTTCAAACAGAGGTAAAGTCCTGGAGATTCATCTGCTCTCAGAAACGAGTCCATCATCTCATATCATGGAGAACATCATGTTAGAAATGTCTTAGGAATGGATGCAGGATCATGAGAATCACACTGTTCATGTCTGTTGATTTCCACAGTCACATTCACCAGGATCAGGAACGACTTCCTACTATGTAAGTCAGTAAGAAAACAATCAGAAGAACACACTGAGTGTGTTTATGTTCTTCCTGTAGAAGGTGAAAGAAGAGTTTTATAATTGATGATGTAAATGATGATCTGCACAGGATATCTGGTCATCTGTACTGAGACACTAATGATGCACTGAACATGAAGAGATCAGTTACATGAAAAGATCAAACAGATTCATAATTCCTGATTCTGATGTTTTATCTCCATCAGATTCCCATCAGCTCACTCTGGATCTGAACACAGTGAATAAACGCCTTCGTCTGTCTGAGAACAACAGAGTGATTACTGCCACTAGAAGAGTACAGTCGTATCCTGATCATCCAGACAGATTTGATGTGTATGTTCAGGTGTTGTGTAGAGAGAGTGTGTGTGGACGCTGTTACTGGGAGCAGGAGTGGAGTGGAGATAAAGGTGTTCGTTTATCAGTGTCATATAAGAGCATCAGCAGGAAGGGATCAAGTAATGAGTGTTTGTTTGGACGTAGTGATCAGTCCTGGTGTTTGTACTGCTCTCATTCCAGATACTCATTTGGACACAATAGCATACGGACTGATCTCCCTGTAAAGTCCATCAGCAGTAGAATAGGAGTGTTTGTGGATCACAGTGCAGGAACTCTGTCCTTCTACAGCGTCTCTGACACAATGAGCCTCATCCACACAGTCCAGACCACATTCACTCAGCCGCTCTATCCTGGGTTCACTGTTTATAGAGGATCATCAGTGAAACTGTGTTGATGAATCAAAACAGACTGACGAGAGACTCTACCCATAATGCTTTGAGCTGCATGATAAATCAGTAACAGTAGATGTTATAGAGTCTCTTCTTTTCTCTTCATGACATTAATACTGCAGCTGAAATTCTTTCACTGAAATAACATGTCAGAATAAATATTTGTAATAAACCCTCATATAGACAGTAAGATCAGTCTGTGTGTGAGTTCTGCTGAGTGACCATGTGTTTCTGTGCTTTTCTCAAACTCTGGGTGCTTTCACACTTGGTTCGATTGCCTGGTCTGAACCCGAGCTCGATTGCTCTTTGGGCAGGATAAGCGATATATTGAATAATTTAGGTGAGTGTGTCTGCTACGCACTGATGATACAGGAAACTGATCCAACACAAAATATATTTCTTTATGTACATAATTTTGCAGGAAATATTAAACATGAACATATATCTGGTATAAGAATCTGAAATTGATTCGAATATACAATGAATAATACAATACAAGCCTCTGTTACTATATTGCTCTATATTGTATTGAAATTCAAAGGTTATCAGGCATCATCTTGGAAATAAAGCTTCATGTCTTTAAGTCTGTACCGTATGTAGTCAGTGTTATTTTTCTGAATAAGTTATGTGTATATTTTTATTGTTCTGATCAGAGCATGTGAGTGGAGCGGAGGGTGAGCGGAGTGGTAATATTTCCTTAAGAGCGCAGAGCGCCTACGTCACACCGCTCCGCTTCGCTCACATGCTCTGTTTCTGATTGAACATCTATTTCACACTCTTAACAATTTGAAAACAAAGTATAACAATAATAATAATTTGCATGGATTGATGTGATATGAGCTAAGTGATCATTAGATTTAATCACCATTGGTAGCGTGATTTATTGTAATGTTTTTTTCCCCTCAGTTAGTCAGAACAAAAGTGGCAGACATGTGTGCCTGAATTTCATTTTGGAAAATGGGGGAGAATTCCCCCTTTACGTGGCTCTTGTGGGGGTGGATTTTTTTAATTTGATGGGGGAGTTAGGGTATTTTTCTAGACATATTCTAAACTACCAGGAAACAGGAATCACATGACTTAAGGGAAAAAGAAAGTGAAAGTGTTGTTGAGCTGTTGTGTGTCTCTGTATTCATGCAGTAAAATGGCAGAAGCCAGATTTTCTCAGGGTGAGCTCTCATGTACAGTGTGTCTGGATCTCCTGAAGGATCCAGTGACCATCCAGTGTGGACACAGTTACTGTGAGAGCTGTATTACAGACCGCTGGGATCATGAGGATCAGATGAGAGTCTAAAGCTGCCCTCAGTGCAGACAGACCTTCAGTCCAAGACCTGCTTTAGCTAGAAACACCATGCTGACTGAACTGGTGGAGAAACTGAAGAAGACTAAACTACCTGCTGACTGTTACGCTGGAACTGGAGATGTGCAGTGTCAAGTCTGTTCTGGAAGAAAATACAAAGCCGTCAAGTCCTGTCTGGTGTGTCAGGAATCTTACTGTCAGACTCATTTTGACCGTCATGAGGAGTTTCATTCACGTAAACCACACAAAGTGATTGATGCCACTGGACGACTGCAGGAGATGGTCTGCCAGAAACATGAGAAACATCTGGAAATGTACTGTATTACTGACCAACAATGCATTTGTGAGCTGTGTACAAAATATGAGCATAAAAACCACGACACTCTATCAGCTGCAGCACAGAGGAGAGAAACAGGTATTTAAAACTAGCGCTTACTAGGGGTTGAATGACTTCTGATTTTTTGAAGTCGACTTTTATGTGATGAAAGTTGAGTCGAAGTCGACTAGTCGCTGATGACGTCATTAATGAACAAATAAGTCTGGAGCTGTGACAAACACCTTGTGCACAGCTATGGCATATGACACAGTGCACTTATAACAGCTTTTTTTATCAGTTCTTTTGTCTTTGGGTCGTTATATTTCTCACAGATTTCTGCTCGTTCTAAATCAAATACAGATAAAGTAGCAGAGTAAAGATTGCATTAATATGAATGCATTAGTGAGACAGCGATTGCGTGTGTGAATTAATTCTACCTGGCAGCGTCTCTCTACTAGTAGTGAAGCTGTGGAATTTACTAGTTATTAAGAAATATATGCTTGAACTTTTCAGTTTCTAAGCTATTTTATTGAAAAGTCTCAGAACAGTGTTGACAATACATTTCCGTGCTGAATGATTCTGTGTGCTCGCGATCTGCGCGTGATGTACGTGCTACTGTCTGTAGCCTATGTGTGTGTGTGTTACAGTGCAGCAGCACATTAGATTAGAACGGCGATTAACTTACCTGTACAATAAGCTGTTTAAAACGTGCATTCTCCCGTTCAATTTCGAGCATCCAGTAATATAATCACACATGTCTTGTGGAGCGCTTTCAGAGTATGCATTTATTTGTCATTTGAACTGTTTGGAAACGGAGCGTAAATGTGGAATTCCTTCAAAGATTTCTTATCCTGTTGCGCCCTCTATAGGACCAGCGACTAGTCGACGTCAAGCTTAAAGCGTCATGGCAGAGCATTGAAGTCGATTAGTCGATTAGTCTGTGCAACCCCTATCGCTTACACTTGTCATGTGAAACAAGCTTATATCTCCATGTTAATTCGTGTACAATGGTGGCAAACAATCAATCATCCTTTCTGGACTTTGAAACTACAGCCATTGGTTATCAGTTCCACTTTTACTGGATTCATCTGTTCACATGATGATTTAGAGCCAGTCGTTTTCTGTAATATTCACTGTCATCCATTTGTCCAGCTGAAGGAGACGCAGAAGACGTCCCAGCAGAGAGAGAAAGATCTTCAGCAGCTGAGAGAGGCTGTGGAGTCTCATAAGGTGAGTCTGGAGAAGAAGAGAAGTTTGTCTCAGTCTCAGTTCAGTCCCACTGAAGCCTGAATCACTGTGTGTCCTAACAGCGCTCTGCACAGACAGCAGTGGAGGACAGTGAGAGGATCTTTACTGAGCTCATCCGCTCCGTTGAGAGCAGCTGCTCTGAGCTGCTACGGCTCCTGATTCCTGATATCAGAGATCAGGAAAAGGCTGCAGTGAGTCAAGCTGAAGGACGACAGGCGCGACTGGAGCAGGAGATCAATGATCTGAGGAGGAGAGACGCTGAGCTGGAACAGCTTTCACACACACAGGATCACAACCAGTTCCTGCAGGTAACAGAGATCTAAGAGAATAGGATCATAGTGGACTTGAGCGAGATCCTGCTGTGACAGGACACCACTAGTGCCACCAACAGTTCAAAGCTTCACTAACTTTTCAACTTTTTAAAAATTGGATCAGTTGATCTTCAAAGTATATATCTTCAAAGCTGTATATTAGCAATCAGTCCCACAAGGATCTGAGACAAAAATTCAAGGTGTCGCAAATAATTAGTTTTTAACTGAAACTGTGTTTCTTAGTGATTGGGCGGCATGACTATGGAGTAAGGGATCCAAGTCCAAGCTTTATTAAAGAGAGTAGTTGAAACAGGCAGGGTCAAACACCAGCAAACAACTATGTCCCAGGGCAAAACAAAAGAGTAATCCAAATAACAGCATTGGTCAGAGAAGGCAGCAGATGATCACAAACCAGGGAACAATCCAAAGACAAAAACACAAAGGCAAGGAAACAAGGAAATGCTTAGAAATGTCTCTTAACAGCTAAACAAGACTCAGCAATGTGTGAGTGTGAGAGTGCAACTTAAATAGTCCTCCTAATGGGAAACAGGTGTGTTCGTAATCAGTTCCTAGGCTGGGGATTCTGGGAAATGGAGTCCGGGGTGAGAAGGTGAAGGTAAGGGATGGAGTGCCCTCAAGAGGCACTCCAGCTGGAGATCGTGACAGCCCCCCCCCCCCCCCCCCCACACCGGGTTCTC